AAAAAAATCAGTTAAAAAAGACTGTTCAAGACGCAACACTTTGTAATTATTAACTATGGTACATTTTGTTAAATTTCAGTTTTCGGGCAAGTGCTTGCTCAAAAGAGCTAAAGTCCTTGTAGCCAAACACGATCACAAAACTCAAGAGTAGCACTAGTCACAGGTGTCAAACACGTTGTTGATCTCTTCATATAAGATTCAGCCTACTTGGGTCAGTGTCGTATATCATCGTTCTGTGAATATACTTGAAAATAAAAATTATTACAAACTTTTACGACTTTGTCGTTTTTTTACTTTTACTTTTGCCCTGACTCCAATTGATTAATAGCATTTACTTTGAAATTCTTCTGATCGATATTTTTCTTTTTCGCAGCATTCTACAATGAACAAGGTCATTGGATTGATACGGCTCCAACAAATAAACCGGGCAAATACAACATCAGCATTGATGGATTTTCCTTTGGAAAATGGACGTCCAATAAACAAGTACTTTACTGGAGATGCAGCCGTGCTCAAGCCATTGGGTTTGTATAAATTTCCAACTTAAATCATTTTACCATATGAGTAGAAAAAAGAAACAGAATTCTGTTTGTTAATTTGATTTCTAAATATTTGTCAATTTTACTTTAAGATGCAAAGCACGAGCCCGAATAAAGACCGCGGAAGGTTTACGAAAAATACATGTGATTTGGCCTTATCACTCCCATGGGGTTAATGACTAATAAAATAGATAGTAGTACAATTTGTGAAGTTACCAAAAACATAACATTCTTAAATAAAGTGTAGTCAAAAGTTATCTTTTTCCAAATAAAGAATGGTTTTTTAATCATATTTCAAATAATTGGGTTTAAATAATTTCCAAAGAAAATGACGGAGTAACACATCGGACTCATTATAATACAATATGATATTATTATTATAATAATAACACTTGGCCGTTTTTACTTTTAGGACCATCCGAATCGGATCAAGCGGAGGCATCTTGTTCAACGGATGTCGCAAACAAAACAACAGAGTATGCTTACAATCGAAAAGGACAATTGATAGTGAATGGCTACCCATTTGTGCGGTCTTCAATCAGAGGTGGTTGTCAAGATGCCAAAATTGACTGGCGATGTGCAGACGGTAGAAAATTCGGATGCAAGGCTCGAGTTCGTACAACGGGAAAAACGTTACAAATATCAAATGTCATTACGCACACTCACGAACCAAGAAAACAACAACAATTTACTGCAATTGTTTGGAATGAAAACAATTGAATTTATTGCTTTTTGATAAACTTAAATAAATTGAAAATAGATTAAATCAAAACATTTATGAGACTCTTGTTTTATATTTTAAGCCCACATTTTACTCTTAAGATCTTTGTTCATTAGATACCAACTTTTTATAATACATTTAATGATTGATTTATGTTGTTTATCGATTCACAGGAAAGATAAATTTAGACATGGATGTGAAAAACATCACGGTTATGAAGAATGTCAACCCGGATAATGTGCTGAAACGAACCAAAACTGGACATTGCTTGGTATTGGTGAAAAGGCCGCGCGTCAAGGGATACTGTGTCGAATGCATTAAAAGGAACAAGGATAAAAGATATTATAAAAAGAACTTGGGTAAAATTATCACTCATTGCCCGCAATGCCCGGGAGGCGATTGGATTTGCAATGAGTGCTTCGATCGCACTCATGTCGATCTCTAGACCACTTCAAACAACAAAACACCATTTTTATGCCTCTTAATCTTTTCTTATGAGAGCCAAATACGGATGATAACAACATTTTTGTACAATAGACATTGTTTCAATATTGTACGTACATTTGAACATTGTACGTGATTGAAAAAAGAACCACTTATATTTTGAAGATAATTTTGATGATTCGATAAAAAGTCATGCGTATTTGGCTCTCTTGAGCAGTAATTTTTTTTGTCATTTTGTAACTGTTGTATATACATATGGCATAGTTTTGAAAAGAGGTTTGTAATAGCATGTGTATGTAAGTTTGAATACCCGACGCATGGAAATAGGTGGACACCAAGTGCATTTATGCACTTTGTGTTTTTTTTGGTATCATTTTTTCAACAAATTCTTGACAGTAAGGTGAATTTTTTTATTTCAAATTTTTCGATGTGAAAATTACAGTGGCAGTCAAAATTGATCCGCTTCCACGTTCTTCTGATAAATATCATTTTCTCTCCCATTCACAATAAAGTCCCAAATATTTGACCAATTGTTTAATTTCCTTATCCATATTAGTACCAACACTCTCTTATTCTTTCTTTTTGAACTGAATTCGAACCACTATTTTGATTGCCAATCTTAGAATTGAAGAATAAAATTTTGTGACGATATAAAAAAAAATGCATTGTGTTTAATTCAACAGGAAAAACTTATTCTCAGTTTGGAACGTGAGCCTTTTTGATCTTTTTTAAATGAAAGTCATTTTCAATTGTTTTTTTATTATTATTATTTAAATGTATAAAAAGCTGGAATTTCCAAATTACATTTTACACGTCTGTTGAAAAAATTGAAATTTCTAATATGCAAGGAACAAGGGGGAGACACGGGCTTTAGTATTGCTAATTTTTCTTAGTTTTTTTTAGTAAATTGCATACAACGTGTACATTGACAGGACCTAATAAGCCTTAATTTTTCTTAGTTTTTTTAGTTTTCTAGTTTGTGTAGGCAAAGAATATTTCGATTTACGTTAAAAAAAGCACATTTCAAAAGTAAGAATGGTAATTAAACGATAAAAGTGCAATTTTTTCGGCGGCTTTATTTGATACATTATTATTGACTTTAAAACTGTACATTCCTTCAATCAAAAACGAGAAAGACTAAACAAATTTATACTCAAAGTTCAAATGTATTTAATCATACTGTGGAAATGGCAATAGTTTTTTGGATTCAAACATTTCTAAAATGTGTTGTCGAAAAATGGCCGAAAGGTCAAATTTTCTCGAAAAAAATTTGAAAGAAAACGTTGACGGTGTTTTAAGACATTGCGTTTTAGGATCACATCCAAGGATCAGTGTAGTTGCATATGCAATAGAAAACGGTCCACACGAGGTGCCATCCCATTGTTTTTTTTTCGCACTAACGTAAGTAATCTGTTCATGGTTTGGCGCCTATTTATAATAAACTTTTGTTGTTCACTCAAATCTTGATAGTATAGACTGTCATAGACGAACACCGTTTTAACGGCTGCCTCATAAAATATGCACAAGTAATGTCCTGGTTCTTCATCGTTTTTTCCACGTGAATATAAAATTTGGACATCGTTTTGTGTATCATTATAAGTGGGATACAGTTCGGGATATTCGTTGTCGAAGAGAATGGATACCATATCATAACTGGTTGTTGCGGCAACTAAATCATTAAAAAGATTAATTGTAAGCAATGAAAAAGGTTTGTTCGGTGTCTTGAGCTCCGCTAGCACCAAAGGATTAATTTCGCCATAAATATTCTTAATGTCCGGACGAGAGGAACTTATTGAAAAAAAAAATCATTTTGTAATGCTTGAATTTGTCTCTATCTCAAAATGTCTTAAAAACTTACCGTGGAAATGGTGACAGTTCTTTTTTCCGAAACATTTCAAAAATATGTTTTCTTAAGTACAGAGATTCATCAGCGTGTTTATCATTCATGTTAAAACCATAAACGGCCGGAGTTTCGCCCAAGATCAATGTCGTTGCATACGCAATAGCGAGAGGACCGTTTGACGTTTCATCATATTGTCTTGTTTTTGGCATAACAAAAACCGCCTTTTCAGCCATTGTATAACGTTGTTCAATAATTGAAAGTACTTTATCAGATAATTGTACAAAGTTGGTAGTAAATTCTGAATAGCTATTATAAATATAAACTTTTTTATAATTTGGATCATAGTAGACGCATAAGTAGCGACCCGAATTGATTACATTATTATAGAAGATTTGAATATCGCAGGTATCGTTGCATATTGCAGGATATTTCTTGAGGCGGGAATGGATGTTGATCATATCGTAATTATATTTTTCACGAACTAGTCGGATAAAATAATTGATTGTTTCATTGGTAAGTGGAGTATTTGATGTTGTCAGCTCAGTCAATATTTTGTCCTCGTTCAAACAATCAATGACATTTTTGTGAGTGAAAAGAAAACATCTGATTTCAAACGCAAACATTTTCAGTTAAAATTTATTTCAACACAAAAGGCAATAACTTACAATGTGAGCAGCAAATGTGATAATATGACCTTACAGTTCAATAAAGCCATCGTTCTACGATATCTGGATGAATTTCTCCAATAGTTTGACTGTTACACAGTTATGAATCCAAGACGTTACTAAATCTTTCAATCGTTATTTTCCCAATTTAAAAGAAGATAATCCAATAGCAACACGCGATATAATTATTAGACATTGACGATCCAATACGAAAGCTGTGTAAATAAAACCAATTGACAATTATTGCCAAACATTTATAATTATTCGATAATATATAATTATGTGAAATTTTTGTGAATAATTTACAAATGACGACCGAGAAAATGCACCGAGTATTCCCCAAGTTCGGAGACAGTGAGTAATCTTTTCAAAGCTCGAAAATGTAAGCATTATTTGATTTTTTTTTTTCAAAATCGTTACTCATTGGGTAATATTCCTTCTAGTTCGATTTGAAAACTTTCGATACTTCACTTTTATCTACAATCCATATTATTCAAGGTGTCTGTTAAGTTAAGAATTCGGCAGTTATAATGTTCACTCTCTAGAGCTTTTCATAGAATATATAATAAAATTTGTGTAAAATAAAGAATTCTCAAAGTGTTCACTGTTTTTCTAAACAATTTTTATAGAGCGAATCATGCATTTAAATGTAAACTTCTCACAGCTTTCACAAGGTGGTGCTGTGCGTCAAATTCGCCGCGGCAATATTTACAACAACTAAATTTACTTGAATTCGGGGCGTCAGTAAACGTCAGATTGCAATACATCGACAATTTTTGTGAATCGCATACAAACGCGTTATCTTGACGAAGTGTATGGTAGAAAAAAGACAAAAAATTATATTTCTATCATTTGTAATTCAATTAAAAGTAGTAAATTCCGTCAAATAGTAAGAATAAAAGACTCAATAAAACAGGAAAAGTTACATCAGAAGAGATAAAAAGCTACCTAATTGGATAAAACACATAATTTCCGATGCAACGTAAAAAAATTGTCATTTTAATCAGTTTAGTTTTTGGTTTTTGACTTCTCGGCAATTACTGAAATAAAAAAAGCAGTTCTTTGTGTTGATAAGTTCTGTGTTTTACTGTTTCTTCGATTTGCTTCAGTTGACTTGGTCGTGGATTTTCAGTTCAGCTTGACCATCATTCGAGGCTACAATATTTACTGAATCGTGGATAATTTATGTGAAACAATCAATTGTCTGTCAAAGAGAAACTATAACACACTCTCATAGTAAAAAAATACATCGTATTGTGTAATGAATGCTGTGTATATCGTACACAAAATATCAAGTGAATCATTCTTTTTTTATATATATAGTCAGTGTGAGCGCTCGCCATATAATTGAGACACAAAAATTCAAGTGCAGTGTTTTTTGTGTAAGAGGCATTCATTTTTGACAGAATTTTCAATTGAAACCGAAAGCGTTAAATAAAAATGATGGTTGAGGACGGAACAGCCGATGCAACAAAGAGGTAAAATATTCGCATCTTGATGCAGCACTGGACCTTTTGTGTCATACTCATTTTAAGCATTTCATTTTTCACAATGTCTTCTTTTTCTTCCTGTTTTCGGTTGCCGCACAGACTCAATGTCAAAAAACAAACGCTCGATGGTAAGCATCACATTGTTTATTCACGAATGCACCAAATCCCATTCGAATTTACAAGTCATTGATTTTTTTTATCTACGAACTGTCACTATACGGTCGATATTTCATGTGGTTTTTTTCTTTGATAACAAAAAACATGATACTTTTTAGATGCGTATGCGGTGCCTGCGAACTTCTTGGAAATAGATGTTGTTAATCCAATGACCACGATTACAGCTGGAAAAAAACGTTTTACGGACTATGAAGTTCGCATGAGAGTAAGTATGATAACACATCGCTCGGCTGGCTTTAACGCTCTTGATACGAACGCCGACTATTTTTTATCTTATCATTTTTTAATGAAATATGGAGATGGTTTAATGAAGTTAATGCTAACTAAAAATGGGCATTGCCTAGCAGTGAGCGAAATCATACATTATGTTTCAAGTGACACCAACTGTTTCGAAATTCGCCTACTTTTTCATTATTTTATGCGTATTTTGCCCGGTTTTCGATTGTTTATTTCGTCATTGTTTTTGATTTACGAATTAAAAAAGTGAAAATATTATTTTTGCTAAATGTTTTCATAACGACGACATAACAACAAACAAATAAGCTGTATGGCTTCTCAAAATTAATTTCAATGCTCGCTAATTGCATTTCATAGAAAATGTTCAAAACTTAAAATAGCTTTGAATGCGATTTTAACGATTTATCATTTCGTGTTTTTTCATTAGAATTTGGGGAATAAAGTACTATATATATATATAATCAAAGTTGAAAATACATATCATTTTTCATGTGCGTTAATGCTATCATATTTGATTTCACAGACAAATTTGCCCGTATTCAAAGTAAAGGAATCGAGTGTACGTCGACGTTACAGTGATTTTGAATGGCTTAGGAATGAATTGGAACGTGATAGCAAAGTGAGTAATCAGTGAACCATTTAAAATAAAAAAAAATCAATAAAAATTTTCGTTTTATTTCGATTAGATTGTGGTGCCAGCATTGCCTGGAAAGGCTTGGAAGCGGCAAATGCCATTCCGTGGAGACGACGGTTTATTCGATGAGAATTTCATTGAGGAGCGACGCAAGGGTCTTGAAAGTTTTATAAATAAAATAGCCGGTCATCCACTTGCCCAGAACGAACGATGTCTGCACATGTTTCTACAAGAGCCAACCATCGATAAAAATTATGTACCGGGCAAGATTCGCAATACATAAAAGTGAACAAGTGAATAATAGGAAGAAAAACTGAATAAAGAAAAAAAAACAAACCGCAAATATCTAACGCGATGCATTGTGTGTTTCGTGTGAACAAAAAAAAACAACTAACAGTTTAAAATCCGTTTAAATATTGTTCAAAATTCCGAATAGAGAAACAAATCAGAGCCGAATAATATAAATAAAATTATTATGATTACAAGACTCGGAGAGAGAGACTCAATGGCAAAATGTGCTTTTTCCGCATTTTAACCAAATATACCACTGCAATAATTGTGTACAGGTTTTACATTTCTTTGGTATTATATCGGTTAAATGCTCTGCACCATTTTTTATAGAACAAAGGATACATTATTCCGCATTCATTTCGTGCTACTTCCAAATCAAAATATTTCACCGGAATCTCTTTCGTTCTAATCTGAGTTTTTTTTTTATTTCTAAAAAAATAATTTATCAAATCTCTTCAGTTGCTCTGCAATCGACTTGCATCTACTTTTTATATACCAGTTTATTTTTATCCAATTGGCTTGTTACAAAAACATATACTATATCGTAAGAAGAATAAAAGAAAATGTTACAAAAAATAAACTTTTTGGAATGAATTTAAAGAAAATTGGACAGTTTTTTATAGTTCGAATCTTCTAGTTTATTTTGATTGAGTAAAAGGAATACAACAAAAAAAAATGTTTAAATAAATTATGTTTGACTCAACACATACAAAAGTATATATATATTATGTAAATGAACGACTATGGAATACTGTACAAATTTGTTTCAATGATAATTCACAATTTTTTTTGAGGTAGAAAATTGATGTTAATATTTTTTTTGTCTGATTTTATAGTTGGCTTTCAAAATCATATAAAAATTGGTGGAATAGATCAGCCATTCTATGTTTCAATACGTAATAACTGAATATTGACCACTCAAACACACACACAACAAACAATCATTTTATAAATATTATGGCAACAAACAAAATTTGCTCTACTCTGTAGCTGACTTTGTATTTTTTAGCAAATGAAAAACGGATATTTCTATTTTACAGGTTCATTTAACATAAACTATGAAAAAGCAAATAAGATTTTACTTTCTAATTTGACGACGAAAAAAACAAGAAACACATGTGTATTTGGTCCGAACTGATGGGATATTTTCTCATAAGTCTGGAGTATATATTTAGTTGATATACAATCTTTGGCTAAATTAATGACACACACACATATATATATATATAAAAAGAGAAAAAAATTCATGTGCAAAGAGTTTGCAAGGAGATGTACAGTCATTGACAAACATCCTTGGCTAGTGTTTTACAGTTGCTACGAAAACGTCATACAAGTTGTATGACATAAGCCTAAGTATTTTGAATTATAATGTTATTTTAATAAACAAAAATGAATATGAAAGAAATGAAAATATACAGCAAGAAATCTTTTGAAAAAAACTACAAACTCTGGTTTTTTTTAGTTTTCATTCATCACTTCATTTTTACACATCACTAATCGAATTATTCCATTTTTATTTTAGGTACCATACTCACTGGTCGATCAATAATGTCTCTCGGATGGCAGTTGAACTATTTTTTGATTTCATAAATTTTTTTTATAGCAAAAATAAAATAAAATTGACCTTATTATCAAAAATCATTTGGCTTCAAATTTTGATCAATCAATATCGTAGTGCCTTAAATTTTAAAACAAAAATAAACATAAAAGTCAATTTCAATGTTAAACCCAAATTTTCACCTTTTCTCTCTCTCTCTCTATTCCAATGGCCGACTGCAGGGATGCTAGATGGTGGCTTAAAATACGTGATTGGAATCCGCGGCAAAAAGAAACTACTGGTCGATGGTAATACATTCTACCGGTTTTTGTCAACGAAAACAAATCAGACATGGTACTGTTCGCAACGCAAAGGAAAGAAGTGTCGAGCAAGTTTTCGTCTATTTCCAAACGGTAAACTGTTACCAGTCATAACAGAGCATTCACATGATACACCTGCAGTCAATACTCGAGTTTACATCACACAAAATCCAAATGATTTGTACTATGACGTTGACAATCATGTACAGATTGATGTAGTGGCATTTGTGAAAGATGATCAAGCTGCCAGCGAGACATTCGAATAGATTTTTAAGTTCAATTGGCCATTTTTACCGTCCCGTATTTGACGGTAATTCAAGTACAAACATTTGAAAATAAGTCGTTTATAGTCTATTAAGTAGTTCAATGTAGAGTAAATTGTATTTGTTCTTCTTCTATTTTTTTTTGCTTAATTGTACTTCAACTCAGATTGAAAAATAAAACGATAGAAAATCGAGTGAAATGACATTAATTTTGTCACATGTTCAGTGTCCGTCTCGTATCCGTGATGGTTGTATTGTCCTTGCGTGTTTTGTTAATTAATGAAATTGCAATGGAATTTGATTTTTAGATGGATATAAAACCAATATGGATGGATGGTGTTGCATTTGACAACGAAGCCAGCGTCGAATTGACGTCGTCAATAATTAAATGCCTCAACACCAAACGATTTTCAACGAATGACAATTGAAAACTATTACATCGAACTGCAAAAGCTTGGAAGGTAGAGTAAGTGTCTTCCACGAAAGATCGTGGTATGTATCTATAACCAATTTGAATGGCACCCAATCAGTTTGGATGGGCCAACAATGCTGAATAAGAAAATTGAGGATAATAAATTCGGAGTGTTCCCGATAAGTTTTAAATAGTTTTGTGATTATGGGAATTTTGAAAAGTTTCTCTTTTCTTCTTTGATTTTATGGATGAACCGAAAGTAAATGCGCCAAACCAAAATTGTTTTCCAAAGTTGTGTGGTAGAAAAAAGCGTCGAATAGTTTGTTTTGCAATCACTGTTCAACTGCATTTATTTAATATCAAATTCAATTTATTCGGTAACAAGGTAAGCAATTTAAAAGAGAGCGCGTGCATTGAGCTGAGAAAAGATAGATAAAATTCAATTATGTATACAGAATCGGAGATGAAGTCCCATAACAATGGAAATTCGTGCTCCGTTGATGCCAACGTTCACACGATGGAAGAAGATAGAAACCAATCAAAGTTGTTATCATTGCTCTAGTTTCGTGAGCGCGAATGTGTGTGTTAAAATGGTTGGCTAAATGTGATGGTGACAAAATGTTGTGTTTCGATTGAAAATTGTGCCAACAACTAAATTGAAAATATCGAATAGACAATTTGTGCGACTACATTCGCCCACGAAACCATAGTTTTCATTTCCTTGCACCGGATATAATACTACGTATCCTGTCAATCTGTGCCAAGCCACATGCCATTCGTTCGAATAAAATCTAATTTATTTGCGGCAATGTTCGTTATCTTTTTGCTTTTATTACGATAACATTGTATATTATATATTAAATTGAGTTTTTCCATAAATTGAAATCGTCAACAAACCTGCACCTGTACACACGAGCATGCAGAATTTGACGTAGCGTGATAGAATGAAATATAAAAGATTCAAACTGTTGATATGTTCCGCGACCGTACAGCTTTTATACGGACAGAACAGCAGAATAACGCGCTACGTTTACGATTGAATCGGTGGTGTGTCCGCCTCGCATGCCGGTGTGTGGTGTACAAAAACATTCTGCTGCTGCACATGTCCCTTTTCGCATGTCGAGAGTTCGCGGTACCGTACAATGCTTTGTTTTCACTTTTCAATATGTTTGTGTGTTGTCGGTTGCGACATGGATAAAATATCTCGCATTCGTAGCAGCAGAGAAATGCGGCTCGCTTTTCGCCCGTACGTTTGTGGGTTCATTGTGGCATACCAAAGAATGAAGAGTGCTTGCCAAACACATGAGAGAAAGAAGAAGGAACAAAAAAAATGACACGGAAAAAAGAAGACGGCATACAAAGAAATGTGCACAAACAGAGAGTATCTGCTGGCATAGCGTTGAACTGTGTGTACTGTGTATAGTAGCGCCGAGAGAGTAACAGTAGTAGTCAGAAGCGAATGAAATTTATTAACCAAGACGAGACGCACACATGTCATCATCATCATCGGTTCATCGGTAAACCAACTGATATATATGCGATTGTTGGCATTTTCGCTTTTATCATTCAGTGTTAAGAAGTCGTTCGAAGTGTTTGCGCCCACCAAACCGTGTGATGCTGCATTGAAATTAACGACTGTTATCAAAGGCAACAAAGTGATAGAATAACAACATTTTACGATTTAGCAATAAACCGTTTTAAGTATTCATTGATTGTGTGTGAATTTCATTACGACAGTGTCAAGTGGCATTTTCATTGAGGGTGTTTGTGTTCTTTTTGAGCTTGGAAATTTTCCATTGAACATTTTTTAGTTTGATTTCTTAATTTCTATCATTTTCATAGTGGATTCAATCAAATTTAAGCTCTCGATGTTTCATGTTCATTCGAACACAACTTAGTGACATGATTTACTGCTCGGAACTCAATTAAATCATCACAATACTTGAAATGAATATCATTTTTGGCATAAATTCGACGGAAATGTATCTACCCGGAAAAATCGAATGAGAAAAAACCATTCGCCCCACTAGGGAATACAGAGAGATTGACGAGACTCGTAGTGCACACACACGTTATGTGTGCAGATAGAAAAATCGATTTTATCTACACATGAGAACGAGACAAACGCGCACACAAAAAAAAAAACACAACAAACAAACAAACAAACAAATGAGAAAAAAAATGGTTCAAACGCGTACAACAATGCAATCGATGCGGATTTCATTCATTGATTCGTAAATAGGTTATTCGAATTGTGAGTACATATTTTCACGTGTACAACATTGAAAGAGAGAGCGAGCGAGAGATACAGTGTGTAAGACAACAAACGCAGTGTGTGTATTACACACAGCGACTAGGAAACGGAATAAAAGACGAACAAAAGGCGGAAAATTTCGTTTTCATTGAAAATGTTGTCGGTTGACCAATATCACATTGATAGTGAGTTCAACGGTGGTTTTAGTGCAGTTGGCGACTCTGAATTGGTGAACCTTCGGCCATGTAGTGGTCAAACACTTTTGAATGCACATCAATTACAACAAAAACAACAGCAACCGCAATCCAAATCGCCAACGGCAACAGTGCCGACCAAACAAAGTTCCCAAAGTTCCACACTCGTGCAATCCAATTCGAATAGCAAGAAATCGGTCATGCTGAATTTTAAGTCGGGCGTCACAATTAATAGCACCGTTGAGGAATTTGGCAATTTTTCGACACGATTTAGTGACACATTTACGCAAAATCGACGTCATTACCGTTTTTGGTTGATGACCGTTGGTGTTGTAATCAGTTGTTTATGTTGTTTCGTGTTTGGTCTAAGTTTCAATTATTTATTCGACACGCAACCATGTGGCGGTAAGTGTTTCTATATTTACTACTTTGAAATTTCCGCCAAAAAAATATAACGGCAGAATGAATGAAAAACGAGAATAGATGAAAGTGTTTCTATTTGAAAATTAATATCCTTTTTGCTCGCTCGTTTCTATTTTTTTTTTTTTTGGTTCCATTAAAATATTACGAGTGCGCGTTTTTCTTTTGTTTCCTTCAGAAAGTGAACTATTTTATTATTTATGTCGTTTTTTTTTATTTTTACCATGTGAATGCGAATGAATGGACGAGTATGTGTTAGTTTGCAATGATTGTTCTGTTTTTATCCGTCGTAATGCATTTCATGAATTTTTTATCATGACATACTAAATTATTATTATTGAATAGCATGTGAAACTTGTTTTGTTCTCTCTCTCCAAAAATGCTTTCGCTCGTCATGGATATTCGGACACTCAACGTATCTCATTTTTTTCGTGTACCCAATTACGGTTCCGTAGCACAAAAGCATCTTCGAAATTTGTGTGTAACGGAAAATTGTATTCGAACAGGTAAGGCATGGTTGACGTGTTACTTGGGGAATACATCTATTATTTATTTACATTAGACACGTTTGAACTGAGTTCATCGGTTGTTTGGTTCGGTTTTAAGCTCTGTTGATCCACATCCTCTCTTTATTTATTCTCTCTTGAGCCTTTTGCATATTTTGACTATAGTCATTTTATATCGAACACATTATGAACAATACCTGTTTAAATATTTATTTCGGTAAGCAGAGAATTGTGGGAAAAACTTTTCTCGTCACACAAACATTCGATGGATTAAGCTTTTGCAATAAAGTCACTCCAAATGAAATGTGTACCAATTTGTCCGGGCGCATAAAATTATTTATGAAGATCGATGCTTGAAAAGTTGTAAGATTCTTGTTGGCTTTCTAAATATATTCCGATTCACACATGTGTACATTTCACTCAAGCAGCAACATTAAGTCGCACAGAATGTAGATAAATCGATCAATTTTCATGTTTGTACGATTCGATCAAAGAAATTTCCGACTGATTTCACACCTCGATTCGCATTTTCATTTCAGCTTCATCATTACTTTCGGCTATGAATCGGAGCGTCGACCCATGTAAGTTTGCCAAAATGAACCCATTTGATTGAATCAGCAACAACCCCTTTATCAACAATTTTTACGTTCTCTTTCTCTCTATCTCACACTCTTTCTACTTGAAATTAGGTGATAATTTTTTTCAATATGCTTGCGGAGCATGGAATAAGAAAAACATTATACCAGAAGATAAAAGTTCCTTTAGCACATTCGAAGTGAGTAGCTTTATGCAATTGGTTTATATCAAACGATTTCAATCTCCTTTTAAGCCTTTGATATGCTAATTCTGTAAACTATTGCATAAAACATTATCGCATTTTCCGTTTTCATCACATGGTCACCTCACGTTGTTAAGGTGTTAGCCGATCAACAGCAAGTAATATTGCGTCAACTTCTCGAAGAGCCTTCAAATCATGATGATAACAAAGCCACAATAAAAGCAAAACACTTTTATAAAAGTTGTGTGAATATAAGTAAGTTTTACGTAAGACGATTAATAGAAGCAAAAAAAACCTTTCAATTTGAAATGGAAATTGATTTGATTTCAATTTTACGCAGCTCAAATTCGTAGTGTTGGCGATTTACCATTGAAAGAACTGTTGAAGTATTATGGTGGATGGCCGGTGTTAGAAAAAAATTGGAAAAAACCCAATCAAAGTTTGGAAGCGATGTTGGGCAAAATGCACGGTGAATTGAATGAACATTTTTTGGTTTCGGTGCTAGTTGCACCCGACGATAAAAATTCATCCGTCAATATTTTAGTGGTAAGTTTTCATTCAGCCAACTTTTAGTTCTCAACATTTTCCAATTAAATGTTTTTATGTTGTCATTTCGATTATTCAATATTTGAATTTTAAATTACTTTTCTTAAACTTCGTAGATTGATCAATTGATTTTGGCGCTTCCGTCAAGAGAGTATTATTTGAAAGATAGTAGCAAATCTGATTTAATGGCATATCACAATTATATGACAAAAATTGCCGTTATTCTGGGCGCTGATCCGGCTTCAATTGCTGATGATATGCAGGAAGTTTTAGATTTCGAGATTCAATTAGCGAATGTAAGCGCGAATGTTCGTTCGTTCGTTCGTTCGTTTGGAAAATTGAAAACTTTAACGAGATTTTCGTTTCGTCTTATTATTTTGCAGGCATCCTTATCGGAGATCGAACGTCACGACACAAATTGTGTGTATCACAAGCTGACACTGGCCTCGTTAAAAACGCTTGTGCCGCAAATTAAATGGGACATATATTTTGAGGTATCCTATGTTCGTTCCTTTGTTACAATTTCCCGAACTATTCAACCATTTGACGGCCTAAGAAGAAAACAATAACATACAGAATATTCTGCAAAAAGACGAATACAAATTTATGTGAGCAAAAACCAAATATACAAACAGACAGCGCAAAAGTAAAACAGCCTACTTACGTGTGTTTCTTATGTAAGTAGGCTGTTTTACCTTTGCGCTGTCTGTTTGTATATTTGGTTTTTGCTCACATAAATTTGTATTCGTCTTTTTGCAGAATATTCTGTATGTTATTGTTTTCTTCTTAGGCCGTCATTTTATTGGCATCACTTTCCAACTTTCTTTTTGGTAGAATTCCTTTACACCGGAAACTAATATCACCGACTCTGAACCAATTGTAGTGTATGCCATTCCGTATCTTGTCGAATTGGGCAAACTAATGGCAGAGACAGACGAACGTATCATTCGAAACTATGTACTCTGGCGAATGGTTCTTTCACTTGTTTCACATTTTGTTGATGAGTATCAAAAGGAGCGCGTTGAATTTCAGCGAATTTTGTTGGGCATTAAATCGGAACGGCATCGTTGGTCACAGTGCGTTGATTGGACGAATAAAAAACTTGGCATGGCCGTTGGGGCTCTATTCATTCGTGACAATTTCAATTCGGAAAGTAAAGAATCAGCGCTGCAGATGATTCGTTCGATTCGGGAAGCATTTAACGAACTATTGGACGAAAATGATTGGATGGATGATGAAACGAGAGCTGTGGCCAAAGAAAAGGCAAATTCGATGAACGAACGCATCGGATACCCGGACATTTTAACAAATGTAAATTGCAATCAACCGAAAAATTTATAAAACTGAAAATGAAAACGAAACGAATTTTTTTTGCAGGTGACTGAACTGGAGAAAGAGTATTCAAACGTAAGAAGACAATATACTTTTTTGTTTCGTATTGAATTTAATTGGGTTCATTTTCTTTGACCAGCTGACGATATCGGATGATACATTTTTCGAGAATATTTTGAACATCTTGAAATTTGACTCGCAACGACAGTGCCAAATGTTACGAAAACCAGTGGAAAAGCAAAAATGGGCCACCGAACCAGCCGTTGTCAATGCATTCTACAATCCAAATCGAAATGACATTGGTAAATATTAAATATATCGTATAATATTCACTCAATTCGGGTGGTGAACGCTTCGAATCAGCATCTAAGAAGCAATGCAGCACAGTCGATACAAATATCTAGGGCTACTCAGACGGCAAAAAAACAATCACTGCAAATTAATCAATAAGTAATGAAAGTAATCACTAAATTTTTAAATATTTTTGTTACTCTTTAGTCTTTCCTGCTGGCATCCTGCAACCTCTTTTTTATAGCAAAAATTTTCCCAAATCACTCAACTATGGAGGTTAGTTTAGTTTATGTGAAAATTTAAATAAAAATAAACTGATTTGTACTGAATTTTTCGATATAGGAATTGGCGTCGTGATCGGACACGAAATAACACATGGATTCGACGATAAAGGTGATTTTTGGCGATTTTTTCAGTATTTCGTTTAACTTATTCAAGTTTTGTTTGAAATCAGGTCGCCAATTCGATAAAGATGGTAACATGAAGCAGTGGTGGAATAACGCAACGATAACAGCATTTCGAGATCGTGCACAATGCATCATTGACCAATATTCACGGTACAAAGTGAACGAGCTGGGTTTATACATGAATGGAAAACTGACTCAAAGTGAAAATATCGCTGATAATGGTGGACTGAAGCAAGCATTTCGGGTAAATTGCCAAATATATGCAAAATTCATGCTTTTTTTCAACTTATGTCGCTATCTTTTTAATTGCAGGCGTACAAAAAATGGACTGCTCAGCATGGAATTGATGAAAATTTGCCGGGTTTGGAATTGAATCATGATCAATTATTTTTCTTGAATTATGCACAAATTTGGTGCGGTTCAATGCGACCAGAAGACGCTCTATCGAAACTACGTTCATCTGTACATTCGCCGGGCGTGATTCGAGTGCTGGGTCCATTGTCAAATTCAAAAGAATTCTCCGATGCATACGGATGTCCATCTGGTTCGCCCATGAACCCGACGAACAAATGTAGTGTATGGTAATCTTTCATCATCCACGTGATCCAGACGGTTATCATCAAATCTTAATGAATAAAAAGAATGCTCTTACAGCAGCAACAACATTGTGATCGTTAATCGGTTTATAAATATTTAATAGACAAACAAGCAAAAGAACATATTTTCCTTCAATTAAAACAACACAAGAAAAAGCTTTTATCCAACACATTTCACAACACCCTAATCGATGTATTTAACGGATTTATTAGGACACAGCACGTGCACAATTTTCCTAATTATATATACATTTAAAAGTCAAAGCAAAATACCAAACTTTTATCTGTACATCATCGTTTGTATTTTAAGTAAAATAAAAATGATTTTTAAATGTTAAACTTCTACACACGTAAATACCAAAGAGAAGAATAAATCAACTCAAATCATTCAATTTATTTAAATATTGTTGAATTTTAAGCAATGGAACTTCTTGAGAATTTTGAGCGAATTGAAAAATCTAGTGAAAAGCATAAAAAAACATTCAAGGTAAAACAAAGTATTGGCATTTGCATTTACTTTCTGAATCTTTGATTTGGTAATGGACCATTGTTTTTTCTCATGAAAATTTCTCTATTTTGAATTTTTCTAAAGCAAAGGGGTAAGATCTCTTAATTCGTTTTCATCCTCAATTTCTCAGTGATGTATCAAACTTGTAATTGGGTTTGTTTGAAAAAAATTAAATATTTTTCACAGGACTCTTTTCTATTCTTTTCCTGTCATCTATCTCTGTTTCGAGGAAATAGGTTCTTTTCAGCGAAGAGCAAACCATTAAAATGTGACATTTTCATTATCTCCAAGAGAGGTATAACATTCTTGGAAACCTTGTTTGTAATCCTTAGACCAAATGAAATTTTATGACCATGACCAATAAATGTTTACGATTTCACATAAACAGAAATACACTTCATCGAAACACGTCAATATTTTGTGTGTTTTCTTTTCAGTTGGAAATGACACATTTTTACAACCAAATGAATCCTTTGCGACAGTAAAAACATTGAACATTTTATTTCACTTCAATAATAATTTCGGAATGAGATTCCATCAATTAGTTTTAACAACAGTTTAATGGTACATTGAATTTTCCAAAAACGGATACTACAATGTTCAAATATTGACACTAAAATAGAACTACGAACACTGGGATTTTTTTCCAACATTTTTTTATTTTGCACAAAATTCGTCTTATATACTTTGATACAATGGTATGCGAATGGGTCAAGTATTGATACATAGCAAAAATTAACAATAAATAATTATTGGAATCGTTCGTACTTATCTCAAACGAGATTAATTGGATTGTTTTTCTAATTAAATCTATCGATTTTTGTTGTTTGTCATGTATTGAAATTGACCAGTTATTATGATTACCGAGGAGTGATTGTAGGTATTTGAGGACAGCTTTAGAATTGTCATCAAGTTGAAAGCAAAACTCTTTGAAGCAAATTCGGTCACAAAACCGATTGCTTCACTGATCGAAAACTTGATACCATAAAATTGATTTTCATCGAACAACTACTGTGCGATTCATAAGAATTAAAGCTTTACCATAATTTTAAATTTTTTATGCTATCAATAATGGATGTTTTTCAATGAAATCATAGAATGGTTGAGGCCACCTGAATTAAATGTAAGTTACTGATCACATACGAATGGAAACGATGCTACAAATATATTATAATACCAGATAGTTAAGTTTTTGAGGCTCTTCAAGTGAACCTTCTTCTGTAATGCCAGGCTTTAAAGTGTCCTTATATTTCAAGGCTTTAAAAAACGTTCAATTGTGGATTGAGCTGATATTGTCTCTACTTTCGATGGTTTGTCTTTTGATCGATATTCATGAAGTGATTGAAAAAAGATTCGCCGAAAACACGCTCTTCAGAAATATCGAACACCAGTTTTTCCGCCTTTGGAAATAGCCTTATTACAAAATCATTCCCTATAGGAAATATATCGCCGGTTTTTTGCCAACAATAATGGCGTTTTCATCGGCTTCTTCAAAAAGAGTGCAAAACATCTATTGAGTACAATATCATATTGTCAATATGAATGTTCACGAGATTTTCCGTTTGTTTGAATCTGCAATCAATTGATCTGCAATACTCAGGAGATCAACGAACTTTAAATGCTTCAACACCGTCTCAATACAATCAACGTTAATATCCGTCAATTTCATTTCGATTATCTAATTTTATCGAGCAAAGAAAACAATAATACTGCTTATGAAAGTATACTTTTTATGGCACATATGAAAATGAAAACTGTAATACATACTCCAATGATTTTTTAGCTTCAAAATGTCTAAAAAATGGCACTGAACTTAGTTTTTGTGAAATACCTTACTTAAATTCAATGAAAGCAGTGTTTTCGGTCGACCGTTGAGAAGTGAACTGACGCTTTTTTCCAAATGTCACTTTTCATGATTTTTTTTATATACCTCACAAAATAGAATGTAAATAAAAGAGAATTATTAAAAATGAATCATTATCATACACATATATACACAAAATATGAAACAAAAGCCATTTAATGAGGTTGGTTAACCGAAAAATACAGTGAATCTTTTGAATGTGACTTTTAAAGAAGATGTTTAATGATTGGCGTCAACAAGGATATTTAGTTTGTTGATGTCTCCTAGAAATGTCGGCAAACTAAGAAACAACTTCAAATTTATGCAGAAATTACAGAAATTGTTCAATATTAAATGAAATATGTATCATGGTTATTGAAAGAAAAGGGTTAATATGAGACAAATATACAAGGTATTATTTCACCGGGAAAAAATCCACGAAACAGCGGTAAACGTCAGATTTTTGTTTGTGATAAAATAAATTAATGATATATGCATGGCAAATGAAGTTGAAAAATAAAAACAAAGACGACACGTGCAGAGCAGCTCAATCTACAAAGAGCGTTCAATCAATTAAAAGGGTAAAACACAAATGATTGTTATCATCAACGCACGATCGCCTTTTATTTACTCATAACTGTTGTTCCGTTTGAATCCCCGTTAATTTTCGGAATTCTGTTGTTTTGCATTCTAAACATTGATAATTATCCGGTCGTAGCGTGGCTTCGGGTTCAACAGAAGCAATGGCTCTAAATAATTTTAATGAATATGCTGACAGGTCATGTTGATTTTTTTGCATTGTTTTAATCCAAATTGTTTGGTAAAATAATGACGTGGAGCTGAGTACTTGAGCTGTTTAGCATCAACATCAGCTCATCAAAGGCACTCCTTTCATCCAAGGAGAGTTTTTATCATGAATAAAATGGAGAAATCTTATTGAAATAGAAAAACGATTTGTGAGTATGTTGTGAGGAGTTCTTCCATGTTTATCCTTGTAAAGAAATTCCGGCAACTAAGAAGCAACGTTCAAGTGTTTTTTGTAATGACACCCTGCTCTTCGTTTCGTTACAATAACATTTTCCGTAATCCAGTTTCGCATATCCATTATCACATTCATCAAATACATGTTGCATATCTATTCGCAATACCTGAAGCTAAAGAAGACAATACATTTTTTTCTCCTTTAGATTAGATTAGTAGCGATAAATGCGAATTAAATAACAAATTCAAAAGTGAGTACGAACAACACCATTGTTGACAAAAAAGAGAAGTCTTAAGAATGTGCCGCATTGTGTATCACAGTCGTTATACTTTCTTCTTCGATCCATCGATACCATTCATACGTGCGTAATGCTCTCATCAGAGAGATTTTCGCCGAATCGAAAAACAAGAGCAACATTTGCCGACAAAGAAAATAAACAACAACAAAAACATTCCATCACAAGTTGATCTTTTTATACCGATTTCGAGTGTATGTGTGTGTGTACAATTGAAACAAAAATAACGAATAATTTGTATATTTATAATTTCTCCACAGAAATAATGATTCATCGATTAGTACTAAATCGTAAATGTTTTTTACGGCTCACTTTCACATGATTCATTTCATGTTAAATGAAAAAAATGTTCGGTCTGTCTGAATTCGTAAAACGTTCTTAATTGGCTATTTCTGTTTTCTGAATGTAGTGATTTTGCATTGAACGTGTGCAGTTGTTGAAAAGTCAATAATCCTATTAGAGACCGCTTGAAAAAACATCAAAGACCAAAGACATCATTGTTGCTTGTGTATTTTTGTTTTACAATTGTTCTGTATCGGAGAAAAAAAGAATAACATACACTTTGGCCGGTCAAACATAAGTAGAAAGAACGAAGAATTCCTGCTAAACGTTTTAGTGCTTATTTAATTTGTCTTCAGGTTTTGAAGAATTGCTCATACCATTGGCAATAAATGTGTATTTGTGTAAGATGGAAAATTGGTAAAATAAAACCGAACGTTTATCCGATGAATATTCCAAAAGAATTTACTTTATGATGCACCGAATGACCCTGCCTCTCTAAGTGAGGCTCTCTGGCTAAATTTTACTATAAATTCATATAACTTTGGTTTTACCTAGTTGGCTAAATAAAATATATGCAATTTCACTCAAATACTAATTCTCTCTATTGCCTGTTGCGAGTGACCGTATCTTAGAGTCCATGTGTAAACAGATGTATCCATGATTACGAATACAAAATTCCAATAAACAAGTGCATTTTTTTGTATCTTATCTCGGCTCCACGTGTACCGCGTATAAATGGTGAAAATGAAAAAAAAAAATGTGATAAAAATAAAAAATATCGTTTGGGTTATTATTATTTTCAGTAATTCATTGTCAACAAAAAAATTTGCCGTTAGGCAAGTCGATAAAATATTTCCATATAATTTACGGTCCAGTATGGAACGACGTAATTGTCTTCTGCTCTCACAGTCGTCGCCCTCTCACTCACACACACACACTCTATCTCTGTCTCCCTTTCGATCTGATGAATACACATAAACAATCATCGTATCATTTTTCGGAGTGTCGTTGCATTTATCCGATCGCCGCGTGAATGTGTGTATTGTAATTTTGACTATAGGATTGTTTACCAGTCCGCACACACACACACACACACACACACAGTGAGACACTTTCGTATTTGGTTTGGCAACCACACAGAGCATTTGTTTTAACAATAACATAGAGAGTCAGTTGTCGTTGGTGCCATGTGCTCGATGCGAAACAAACTAACTGTATGTCGTTCGAATCGATGACGCGCATCGAATGAGAAAAAGAAGAACTCGCGCGGTCACCAAACAGAAGTGATTTGAATAGCAAAACGTTAAGAAGTATAAGTTCTATCTTGAGACACAGTAACACAATTTTATTTGATGCCCATCGAACAAAAAAGTGAAAATTCATTAGTGTATCGAAGACCAAAAAGAAAAATGTCAACTGGACGTGATTTGTACAGTTTCATTGAAAATTTGCCGATAAATATGG